ACTTTCCCCGCGTTTGGCTGGTTTGATAACCTCGATGATTGCGCGCGAAACCCATGCCCGTTTCAGGGGAACTCGGAGGAGCAGGTCAATATTGTTGAGTTCCTTATCGGTGCCAACTGCTGGGCCAACTGATCGTGGATAATCTTTCTCGTCTCATTCGCTTGCGTATTCTCCAGATGTGGTGCAGTCTCCAGATGGTGGGCTGCAGTCGGAGATCCATACGGCCGCTTCAGGATCCCAGGATGTAGGGCCCAACCTTGCTGCTGAAGAAGCGTCGCTTGCTTCTCAATCAAATGATGCTGTACTGCACTCAGTTCCTTTGGATTATTCTCTGCACTCAGCTCCTTTGGATTATTCTCTGCACTCATTTCCTTTGGATTATTCTCGAGTGCAAAGGGAAGGTGGAGGCCCCGAGGCGCTGCCGTTGGCATCCTCGAAAACCCACGGAGAGTGCGAAGTTGACCAGCGTGAAGATAACTGTGCATCTTCTTCCCGGCTCTGTTCAGATGACTTGCAGAGCAATCGATCTGAGTGTCAAGCTGCCAGGGACTGGGCCCGTGCCAATGGCGATGTAAGGGCTCTTTGGCTTGAGCTACACCGACTCCCGACACAGGAGTTTCAGCGTAGGACTGAGGCTCTTAATGCATACAGGCTGCAATTGGGAATTGAAAGTTCCGAGGAGGATGATTCGCAACAAGGGGGTCCTCAGAGTTCTACGTCCAGGAGTGCATTGACGCGGAGCGGCAAGAAGCATCGGAAATGGCACAGATGATGTACATGTGATTGATCCTGCACGCTTGATTTGTCATTGCGTTGCCTTTCTTCATGCCTGTGTGTGTTGTCGTGCATGCGCGTGTGTTGAATAAGAGCTTCGCTTGATCCCTCAAAGTAGGTCATTCGTTGCTTCCTTGATTTGAGTGCTCATTGACCTTTGACCGTGACTTTCCGTGATTTGTCACGTGGTGCCTCAAAGTAGGCCTTTGATCTAGTCGACACTACGCTGCTTTTATTTCCAGTGGTGCTGGGACGGTAATCGCGATATGTGGTTACTGCATGGTCTCGCACTGCTTTGCTTCCCTCTTTCTATTTTTATATGTCTTCTCGTGTATAGGCAGTCTTGTGCATATCTGTACAGCTTCGCTGTTTGATGCACCTCTGCTTTAATCTTTGCAGTTTCGCGGTCTTCCTGTACAGCTTCGCTGTTTAGGTTCTTTGTGTTTAGGCCTGCTCCCATGGGAGCTCGAACCGGCCTTCGCAAAAGACGCAAAAAACAAGGTTGACGGTTCACCGCCGGCGCTATGTGAGTGCCTCTTTGCTCTCCGGTTTTTGGGCGTTACCAAGTGACTCGTAGAGCTTCCCTCAGAGCGTTAGCAGCGAAGCTAGAAGAGTAATTCCGGCGCGCTGGGGGGCTTGTTGGCGAAACAATATCGACGGAAATTCTGCGTATTTTTGCTTGGTTTAAATTCGATTCCTCGAATTGCCTCCAGCATCTAGGGTCAGAGCTCGGTCTGCTACCACAGCTAGGTCCGAGCAACTATTTGTACTCCACCGTTTTTTTCCAGATCATAATGAGTTTCTTCACTTAATTCGAGCTGCAGATAAGCTAGAGACCTCTTTGGCACAACAATCAGAATTAAATCATCAGGCGCGATAGTCTGGAGTACCCAGACGCCTGAATTCGGTTTGTTATTAGCGCAGAAGCCGAAACACTAGTACTTTGCTAGTCTTTTGGAGATGGAATTGGTTTTCTTGACTTAACTCGAGCTGCAGATGAGCTACAAAGCTCTTCGGCACAACAATCGGAGGAAGTCATCAGGCGCGCTAAGTAAACCTATCGAGACCTGAAATCAGTCTGCTATCAGCGCTCGGGTTGACCAACTATTCGTACTCTGCTAATTTTCTAGAGATGGTGATGGTTTTCTTGACTTAACTCGCGCTGCAGATGCGCTACAGAGCTGTTCAGCACAGCAATCGGAGAGAATTATCAGAGGCGCTAGTTAAAAGTATCTAGACGCCTGATCTCGGTCTGCTATGAGCGCTGAGGCCGAACAACTATCCGTGGTCTGCTAATTCTTTGGAGATGGTATTGGTTTCCATGATTTAACTCGAGCTTCAAATGAGCTACAGAGCTGTTCGGCGCAGCAATCGAACGGAAATCATCAGGCGCGCTAGTTTAAAGTATCTAGACGCCTGAACTCGGTCTGCTATCAGCGCTGGGACCCAAAAACTATTTGTACTCTGCTTATTTTTTAAAGAGATGGTGATGGTTTGCTTTACGCTCTTCGGCACAGCCATCGGAAGGAAATCAACAGGCGCGCTAGTGTACAGTTCCAGCCGTTTTTTTTTTTTTTTTTTTTTTTTTTTTTTTTTTTTTTTTTTTTTTTTTTTTTTTTTTTTTTTTTTTTTTTTTTTTTTTTTCTTCGGGTTTTGTACCCCCCTCAGTCCTGAGTCCTCAGTCCTCCTTCTTCTCCACGTCCTCCTTCATGAGACGGCGCCCTCGCGCGCGCAATGTGAGATTGCCGCGCCCGCATTGCACGAGGAAGCTCTACGAGTTCCCGGCGGTAGCCAAGGTTGACGGTTTACCGCCGGCTCCCAGTGTGAGTGCCTCTCTGCTATCGGGGTTTTGGACGCTACCAAGTTGCTCTCCGGGTTTTGGACGCTACAAGTTTTTTGTGTGAGTTATTTAAATTAAATTTCTCGAAATTCAACAATTCGCGAGAGCTGTATTATCTTTTCTCCTTATAATCGATCTCATTCCTGCTCGCGGTCCCAATCTCAGGTCGATCGGGTACCTATTACTGCGAAAAAGCATTGGTGCGGGATTGGCTGTTTCGAGTCATCTTGACAGGGTTTGTCGGTTTTCTGTGCTTAACTCGAGCTGGGACAGCTACAGCGCTGGTAGGCACACCCAATCGATCCAGAATCAGGCGCGTTCGCCTGAAGTATCCAGATGTATGAACTCGGTCTGCTACTCGAGATAGGTCCGCGAAACTATTCGTACTCTACTAAGGTTTTGGGATATGATGATGGGGCTCTTGACTCAAATCGAGCTGCAGATGAGCTACAGAGCTCGTTTGCACAGCAATCGGAAGACAAATATTTGGCGCGATAATATGAAGTATCTAGACGCCTGAACTCGGTCTGCTATCAGCGCTGGCGCCAAACAAGCATTCGTACTCTGCTAATTTTTAGAGATGATGATCGTTTTCTTCACTTAACTCGCGCTACATATCATCTACAGAGTTGTTTGGCACGGCAATCAGGAGGAAATCATCAGGCGCGCAAGTTTAAAGCATCTAGACGCGTGAACTCGGTCTGCTATCAGCGTTGGGGCTGAACAACTATTCGTACTTTGTTTTTTTGGAGATGGTGATGGTTTGCTTCACTCAACTCGAGCTGCAGATGTTCTACAAAGCTGTTTGACACAGCAACCAGAAAACAAATTCATCAGACGCGCTAGTTTAAAGTATCCAGACGCCCGACCTTGGTCTGCTATCAGCGCTGGAGCCGAAAAACTATTCGTACTCTGCTAATTTTCTGGAGATGGTGATGATTTTCTGGACTTAACTCGAGCTGCAGATGAGCTACAGAGCTGTTCGGCACAGCAATCGGAAGGCTATCATCAGGCGCGCTAGTTTAAAATATCTAGACACCTGAATTCGATCTGTTATCGGCGCTGGGACTATGGGAGTATTCGTGCTCGGCTAATTTTTTAGAAATGGTATAGGTTTTCTGGACTTAACTCGAGCTGCAGGAGAGTTACAGAGCTATTCGGCAAAGCAATCGGGAGCAAATAATCAGGCGCGCTAGTTTAAAGTATGTATACGCCTGAACTCGGTCTGCTAGCGCTGGGGCCGAACAACTATTCGTACTCTACCATATTTCTAGAGATGGTGCTGATTTTCTTTACGCTGTTCGGCGTAGCAACCGGAAGGAAATCAACGGGCGCGCTTGCTCAAAGGCTTTTTTGTTTTTTTTTTTTTTTGTTTTTTTTTTTTTTTTTCCCTCGCGCGCGCAATGCGAGATTGCCGCGCCCGCGTTGCACGAGGAAGCTCTACGAGTTCCCGGCGGTAGCCAAGGTTGACGGTTTACCGCCGGCTCCCAGTGTTCCTGAGCATTTCCGGTTGAACGGTGTGCTTTCCAGCTGCGTAGCTTGCCTACAACTCGACTTGACTACAGAAAACCAACACCGTCTCTCATAAAAATGAAAGGGTGCAAGTAAGTATTTGGGCGCAGCTCTGGTAGCAGACCGATCTCAGGCGTCATCAGCCCCGTAGCTGGCCTGCAGCTCGAATTGAATTCAGCGAGCGCACATCACCTCTCGAAGAATTGTTTTAGTCGGAGCTCTGGTTGCAGGCCGATTTCAGACGTCTCGATTCTGTAGTCGAACGTGCCTGATGATTTCTTGTTTGGAGGTGTGCTTTCCAGTTCCGTAGCCAGCCTACAGCTCGAATTCAAGTAGAGAAACTAGCAGAGCAACGTCGGCTCAAGAGCAACGTCGGCTCAAGAGCAACGTCGCTCCAGAAGAGGAGGAGGTCACGATGCGCCACCCTCCCTTTTGCAGTCACTTCTACCTCCCCTTTCCACCTCTTACACCACAGGTATATTTCTCTCGTCTGCGTCCGACTCCTGCTCTTGTGTGAGTCAGACTCCTGCTCTCGTGTGATTGCGATTGGTCCAGGGAGGCACCACGTCGCACCCCTTTAATCAGGTTTTGACACGTCACTGTACCAGACAGAGGCCAGACGAGAAGACTGATCCCATCGACGCTTCTATCGAGCCCACTGAATCTATTGATCTTGACAACTACCTCAAAGACGGAGGCTGAGGACCCAGCGGTCCAGGCGGCATCCCGCAAAAGGTCCCTTCAGGACAATCAAGATTGGTGTCAACGCTGGGGAGTACATCTCAGTCAGCTCCACAGAGCGGCATCATATATGACGACGGCTGTGTCGGATGTAGTCATGGGCGACGACCGCAGGGTCAAGCGACGGGCACAGGCGACAGCGTTGGAGGCAAAACGAGAGGCATGTGAGAAATCTATGGCCTCGTTCAGCGAGGCGTGCAAAGCGGATGATGTACCCCACTATTTCGGCATGCTCGGAGATGCCCTAAGCGCCCTGGCCTCCCTCCAGTCCGAGAATATGATTGAGCTCAAGCAGGAAATCACAGAGGTCAAGGATGATATTGGTTCGCTCAGGGCTCACAACGACAAGCAGGACACTAAACTCGACCGCCTTGAGAAGGAGATCGCCTTCATCAAAGCAGGTGCGTCGGCCTCCACGGCGGCCCCGAGTGCGGGAGGCACGTCATCGGTTGGAGGAGCTGGAGTACAGCGCCAGTGGAATCCATCATATATCGAGCTCCGCGGCTGGGTCACGGATACGTCCAGTGCGATGTCGCGCTCAGAGACACAGATCACGGACCTCGATTGCCAGCATCGTATCCGAAACTTACTTGACCTCCTCGGGGAGGAAGATAGAGCCAAAGTGGATGATGTTGGTACCCTTCGTATCAATAGTAACCAGCCCATGTTTTCATTCTGCCGTATCAAGTTTTGTGCTGGTACCGATGGGGATCTACTATGGAACTGTAAACACTTGTGGGATGCGATTATCTTGGATCCTAGTGAACGCACAGATGCTCAAAAGAAGCTCGCAGGATATCGCACCATGCAGAACATCCTCACATATATGGATCGTCGTCCAAAGAAAGTAATCATCAATATCGAGGCTCCTGAATGGAAGACGGGTTATATTGTCGCCGTGGGACGTTTCCATGGTATCTGGAGGCAAAAGATTCTCAAACAATATCCGAACACAAAGTTTGGCATCAGCAGTCAGACGGGACCGGGCAACGGCATCGGCACTATCTGGAACAAGCCGCCCGACCTCCAGACCCATCGACCCATCGAGCTTGCAGTTTGGAAGGCATCAGAAGCACGCTGGACCATCCACAAGGAGGTCTGGGACGCGGTCTTGCCTCGTTACGGTATCCAGACCACAGTCGCCGCTTTCCAATCCAGCTTGGAGTGAGGGCGCCGCGAGAGCGCCGCAGGTTCCATGAATGTTGCCACGGTTGGTCGCCGTGATGCTAGAGGATTTGCCCTATGCAGACAGCTCCTTCATGAAGGAGTTGCGGTGATTGGCCTCCAGGAGTGCCAGCATTTAATTTTCTCCGATGGGATCAGACGGTTTGGTTGGCTGGGTTATCGATCCAGCTGTCTCCGAGCAGGGGTTCCGGTACGGGCATCGTACCAATGCAACATAATTCATACTTGGGTTAACTTAGATAGGGTCGCAGGTGTGCTTTTCGGTAACGGTGTTTGCTTCGGCAGTGCTTATTTCAAAGACAGCTCGTATGATGACTCTCCGACGGATATGGAGACAATGTGCCGACAGCTGCGGCAGATGCGCCGTGAGGCGGTGCAGAGGCTCCCAGGCACTTGCTTGCTTCTTGTGTGTGACGCCAATGTGGAGCTCACGCCTGACCTTGTGTCCACACGGGGGGAGCAGATCACGGGGGAGGGACTTATGATGACACGTCAAAGAGGATATGGGAATGATTCAGAGAGCAGACGGTGGAGGGAGGAGATGATGAGGGAGCACTTTGAACACTTCATGGGGAGGAGGGACTTTGTGCCATCAATAGTTTTGCAGAACGGACTCCGACCTACTGGAAGTGGGGAGCCGCCAGCCCTAGCAAAGTGCTAGATTACGTTTGTATTCCGACGGCCTGGGAGAGGAGAGACCATAGTGAAATGGCTGTGTGGCGGAGTCCACAGCCACTACTCAGATCATGCCTTCCTCAAGTTCGAGATTCGACCCCAGGTTCGCGCTCCTCGATATCGACCTCGCTCCCAACCCCGCCCTACCTCTGCGGCTCGTCGACCTTTCTCTGACCAGCTCCAACAATCCCAGTTCGCCTCTCTCGCGGATATCGGCATTCCCAACACATCCCCTGCAGACATTGGGTCGTGCTTGTCTGGTCTCGCCGATCCCTATCTTGTGCCGCCAGCAGTCAGCTCCGCGCCTGTCAAGCCGGCGGTGTTGGCCGATCTCCAGGCCATGTGCCGCAGACTCCGGTCACGCACCGACATGGTCCCCCAAGATAAGAGAGCCCAAATGAAAGCCATTACACAACAAATCAGTCACCACAAACGACAGTACGACAGGGCCCGACTTACTTGGGAGTTTCAGGGAGGAAGGAAAACACAGCGGGTTCAGACTACATCGTTGGAGGTGGATGGGGAGGTTACGGAGGATCGGTGGAAGTGGGAGGATGCGCTTCAGATACACGGGGCGACAACCATGTCGTGTGCACAGTCTCGCGCAGAGCAACTCTCTTTGCTACGACGCTTGCGGGAGCAGGCCAATGTGTCAGGTCGGCCAGCGCCGAAGCTCTCTTTTGCCTCTGTGCTCAGAGCGAGAGCCCGCCTTCGCACGGGGACGTCGTGCGGGCCCGACGGATGTGCAGCCGAGTTGCTGGAATCGCTCACGTGGAGATCTATCCGCCATATCTACACCACATTTCTCTCTATCTATCGTGCATGCTCTCCGACTCCAGATACATGGCGACAGGTTCTCATTACATTGATGCCCAAAGTACCCACGTTACGATCATTGAGTGAGACACGCTCGATTGTCGTTGCCAATCGTCTTGCCAAATGGTACCTCACATCCCTCACTATTTCACTGGAGGCGGAGGTGTCTGGGGACCTGCAACGACTGGGACTCTACGGTTTCAGCCCTGGTAGGAGTCCTTGGGAGATCGTGGGGCCACTCAAACAGATATGTCAACATGGGAGCGTCTGGGGCAAAAACAACAACGACCAAACTGCTTATGTTGCGCAGGCCGGTATTAAAAAAGGCTTTCGACAACATTACGATCCAAGTTGTGGCGCGTGCTCTGGAGGCCCTCAAAGTCCACCCTAGGCTCACACATGCTATCCTGGAGCCTCTTGCTGGGACGTCGGGTATATTATGTTTCGAGGGCTTGAAGGCTACTGCATCCTGGGACCGCTCCATACGTACGGGGGGCACAGAGAGTCCCTTGCTCTTTAATCTTGTGGTGCTTGCGATGTGTGCTGACCTGTTCAAGTCTTGGGAGGACCTCCAGCTAGGATGCCCCGTGACGGACATCTTGGATGTATCTATGGACGTGTGCAGGTACTCACATGCCTTGTGGGCGGATAACATGTATCTCGTTGCGACTTCGGCTCAGGATTTACAGTACCTCTGAACATCACTCACCACTTGCTTCAAAGACTGGGGTTTATCATGGAAACCAGACTCTCTCGATTATATGATTGCAGGAGGCTCCCCACCGTGCTCCTTTGAGGTGTATATTGCAGGGGCCCCCTTCCCGCTCAAGAGAGTGACGAAGATGCAGGTACTAGGCACGGTGGTGGAATCAGAGTTTGAGAATACACATGGAGATATTCGTCATCGGATCACGATGGCCAGGAGGGCGTTCGTTCTTCTTAGCCCACGGGCTAAGTTCTATAGATACCAACAGGGAGCTCATAGCGTCATGTCTTACGGCCTCGACTGCTGTACACTGGATGCAGAGGGGCTACGATTATTACACAGCTGCGAGGGGAGTCTACTCATGTCTATGTTCGGGCGCAGGAAGCCAGCCACTGAGAGCTGGGACATATGGACACCACGACGATTGGACCACGTCCGACGGCAATTTTGTGATGAGGGTTTCCAGTATATCACACAGTTGGTATGTGCACGCAGTTTCAATGTTGCCCGAAGTGTGGCTCAGTATGTGCAGGGTCAGCTTGCTAGTTGTTCTCGTTACACTGCCAGGGAGACGGATACGGAGGATGGGAAGTGAGACGGAGGAACGACAGAGGGGGCGGACGGTGCTCACGTACCTTTTTGGACAGTCGAGGCACCTTGCTCCTCGACAATCTTGAGTGGACGTCTCGGAGAGACGACCTGACATCCTCTTTGCATGCATCGGGACAGCTCTCACTGGCACGCTCGGGCACCAGGAGACGTTTCGGTCCTACGAGTACAGGTCAACGGACCTGGCAATACCCGTATAGGGAAGTCTTGGGACCCTGCTGGTGGGACGGCTTTGACGACTCGTACACAGGCTTTGTGAAGTTGTGGCGGACGATCTTGGGGCACTTCAACAGACGCAGCATTTTTGAATATTGGTATGTTGCCACCACAGGTCCCAGTTGGAGCTCCACCCAGTTCGAGGCCAATCAGTCCACCGAGGGAACGACTCCTGAGGCCCTTGAGAAACAGTCCAAGCGGTTGGCCACAATATGCCAGCGTGCTACGGTTTGGGACGTCTTGAGTGAGGGGATATGCGTGGGCCTCCAAGGGGACTCACTACTGGTCTCATCGTGGCTCCAAGGGAAGTGGAGGTGCCAGAATCAGGGTTATGCCGACAGAGTTGCGGTGCGTGTGGAGACCATATACGAGCTGAGCTGCCGCGCGAACATCCGTGCGACGAACATATGACGGGACTTCTATCGGCATGAGTACAGGGAAGATAACACCAGGGCCGAGGAGCTCACCCACCTGGCCCGAGAGGGCCGCACTTTCTACTCCAATCAGGTTGCATGCAGTCCGATTGAGTCACAATATCTTATACACGTCGCCTGTCGTGGGGCATGCGATGGGGGAGTGGGCGGCAACGGTTGCGGATGTGTTTTTTTGGCTGCAGAAAGGCTTCTTGGATTGCAGTCAGTGGGGTCCGACCTACCACGCCACTCCTTCTCCATTCGGCTCTCGTCAGATAGCCCGCAGGAGGGCCCCAGGGAATGAGCCGCGTGGTGCCCTCGTTTGGAGGGGCATCGCCTCCAGTGCCTTTCTTTTACCACCGCACTCCACGATCACAGATTGTGAACTGGCTGCCGCCGAGGCGCTCACACGCGCCCTCCGCTTAGACCTGCTAGGCTCGCTAGGCGCCCAGTCGGGCGGCGCTGCGGACAGCGCCCTGGAGCCCGCGCAAACCCAAAACAACTAGCATCATCTCCGAACAAAATCAGCAACCAGTTTTTTTGGCAGCTCTGGACGCATATGCGTTCGACTAGCACTCCTGATGATTGTATAGTTCGAACTAAATAGAGAAAACCAGCATCGCCTGAGTGCAAACATAGAGTTTTAGTTGCAACCGGGGTAGCGAACCATTCTCAGGCGTAATTGCTTTAGACTAACGCTCCTGATCATTTCCTGTCGGTTCGTGCGCCTTTCAGCTTCAAAGCATATCTACAGCTCGAGTTAGTTCTAGAACACCCACAA